CTGCAGACTGTTTCCCATTTGGATTTGCTTTCTGTCTTTTATTTGGGATTGCCATATTTCTGTTGCCCAGCTCATTATAGAAGGGGGTAAATTTATGCCCTGGGAAACTGACACTCCTGCAGCTGCAATGCCAGCCGGTTAGCCAAGATAAAGTAGCAGAGTAGAATTAATAGACTTGTGGTGTTCAAGTCCCCGTTTATACATGGGCCAAGTCACTAGGGGCATGTGTGGCTATGTTAAAAGTGGGTTGTCAATCTCCCCACCAGCATCTTGCCAACAGTAGGGTGACAGCAGGCCCTGTAGTCTTCTGTGACAATCCAATTCACATGTCTCATCAGCTACTTAGGTTTAATTTACTAAAATTTCCCATCAACTTCTTGCTGGGGAGCTCCTGTTTTATTAAGCCCTGCTTTCGTCTCAATGGTTATGAGCATCTCTGATACAGTTTGATTAAAGAGCTTTTTTTTTTTTTTTTGCTTCCTTTTAGCTATTCTTCAAGGTCAGCTGGTTTGGATATTTTGAAAAGGCTGCCACTGCCTCTTAGTTCCACATATGTGTACATGATGTCGTTGGCAGGGGCTTCCAGGCGCATGGCTGAGTCCATTAAGACTTAGTGAAGCCTGAAAGAGAGAATCAATGTTTCATTTACATCAGAAGGCTCTACATCTCATCACATCCTGCTGGACACAGGCTGGACAACATCTTAATACTAATCAGCTTTCTCTCACATTGAATTCTAAGGATTGGTATTTTGAAAACCAACAGTATTATCTCTGGCCCTCCCGGCTCCTCTCAGACAACTATCTGCCCCTTGCCAGACTGTACAATTTGACACTCTTGTTCAGTGACTTCTTACTCATTAAACTGATCAAGATACAAAACTTGTTAGTTAATTTTTCATGCACTTGGGGGATATGGTTGCATATTTTAATGATCTGCTCTCAGAATGTGCTGATCAAACTGCATATTTTGTTGATTTGCTGTGACACATCCTTAACCACAGTGTTGCTCTAGCAGGGTCCTGGTGATGTGAGCTGCATCTGAGAAGTGTGGGGTGGATGCCGTGTGTGCTAATTGAGCTGTGCAACCCCGCTGAGGTGTTGATGTGCTCTTTACTGATTGATCTGAATAATAACCATTTGGAATTTTCATATTCCACACCCCAGGGCTCAGATGGTATCAAAACCAATATTTACTAGAGTAGCATTTGTCCTAGTTAGACCGTAACATACTTTTCTCATTTGTTTAAGGTTTGGTCTTGAAGACTGGGGACTCCACAACACCCCCCGCCACACACACACACACACACACACACACACACACAAACACATCATGCACAAATGAGATAAATAAAGAAGCCAGGAAATGATTTTAGACAAGGTCAAACAAAAAGATTAGAGCCATCCTTAGCTACACTCTCTGGATCCTTTTGATGTTGAGGCTTAGCATTCTCTTTCTGCCTTTGCAAAACAAATTATCCAACCTTACTCTCTCTGACCACAAGTCACTGACTCCAAATTTCCTTATCAGAGTGGGTGCTCAGGGCGATCTCTCAAGAAGAGGCAGAGAAGAGGGTTACTAAGGCTTTTGTCAAATCAGGGGGACCTAGATTAGGAAACTCAGTCACTTGATTTCTCAGAAATAAATCAGGGTCTCCAGACCTCATTTTTGAAATTTATTTTTTTTTAAAAATGGGAGAAACTATAGACACCTTTAATTTCTAAATTTTATAAAGTAGCAACAAACAGTCAGGTCACGAGTTTTAAAAATCTCTACCAAAGGCAAGTATTTTACATTATAGACAGATAGTGATTTTGCTTTAATATATTACCAAAACACAACAACAAATAATGGAAAACTAAAATTTAAAAGAGGGGGTTGAGAGTAGTGGGATTATTTGTCAGGATATAAATAAGGAAACATAAATAAACATGATTTTCAGCATGCCAAAAATGGAGACTTGTTGGGCAAGTGAATTATATGAACTTATAAAGGGCTAGATAGTAGATATTTTCCTGTTTATAGGTCATAGGTCTCTCCACAACTAGTGTAGTGGGAAAGCAGCCAGAGAAGGTGTGCATAGCTGTGTACCAATAAAACTTTATTTATAATATCTGGCCTGCTTTGATCCAAGAGCAGGAATCTGTTAACCCTTTGTCTAAAATATTATTCTACCATCCTTCATCATTAAGTTTACTCTTCTGTAAAATGAAAACGTGTACCACGTTAGTACCTATGGCATGAAACTATTAGGAGAGTTGAATGAGTTAATACATACTTAGTACTCAAGTACTTGGGACCGTGACTCACACATAATGAGCACCATGAAAATGTTAGCTCACCTTTTTACTGTTACTTATTACTTGGATTGTATAACTCATTTAATTCATTGCCTTGATTATACAACTAATACTTATTAAGCCATTGGTCATTTCCTCTGCTGGGCCTGGTATTTTAGAGGTGACCTAACCAACCATGGCCTGTTTGTCATGGAGCCCTCAGAAAGATGGGGTTTACAGTGAAAAAGAGATGATTATATATCCAAGCAACTTTTACAGAAGGGCAAGCAGGCTCAAGGGCACAGAGCAGAGATGAAAGACAACTCCAGCAAGGGACATCAAATGGAATACCCAGGAGGAAGTGAGAGCTAAACTGAATTTTGACACACCAGCTTGATTTAGCTAGTCAAGGGAGATAATGATGGAGAGAGACATAATGGGAAATGTAGAGGAAGAGCATCTACTCAGAGGAAACAGCTATGAAGAATTAAGAAAAGGATTATGGAGCAGTGAAGAGAGATGCAAAATGGTGAGTAAAGTAAAAATTTGTGGTTTAGGGCCTCCCTGGCACAGGAGTTAAGACACAACCTATGAAGCTGTCCGCAGCCCCTGCAGCATGAGTTTGATGCCTGGCCAGGGAGCCACCCACATGGTATGGCAGACCTCTCCTGTCTCGCCCACTGCTCCCCTCAGTAGTGTATTTCAGTTGATCTGCCTGTTCTATTCTCCACACTCTCTGGTGAATCCTCTCACCACCACCCCCCACCTCTGGCCTGTACCCCTGTTCTTGTATGATTAAATAAATTTTAAAAAATTGGGGGGCTTATCCTATGACTGGAAGTTTGAATGGATTAAGCAGAGGAAAGACATGATCATACTCGAATTTTAGATAGAATGCTCAGGAAGCACATGGAAAATGGATTAGAGGGGGCGAGATGTCAAAACTACATCTTTCTAGAGATGGGGTACAGAAAGAAACTACAGTTCTTTCTGCTAATAAAAGCATAAAGAGAACACAGCGCAAAGGCAGTATCATACCCCCAGGGCATAAAAGAGAGGAAGAGAGGAAGTGAGCCATTTGAGACTTGGCAGACAGGTTAAGAAAGGCATGATGTGATGGAATGATAGTGCCCGCCCAGGGGGCAAGGCCACAGTCCTGCATGGACACCTAGTCTAAGAAGCTCGAAAGAGAAATCAAAAGGTAAGGAAGTATAGACAGGAACATTGGTATCACGGGAAACATGAGGAACAACCAGAAATGAATAAAAATTTACTTAATTAAAACAAATTTATGAGCAACTAACCTGCACAATGTTTCCCACACAAACTCCAGATTCCTTATTTTGCAGATTTAAAATATCGTCTTCCCACCATCCCTTACATTTCATTGCTCCATCCTCGCTTTCTGCTATCCTTAACCTCAAGCCTTTACCACGTGGATTATGTCCGCTAGTTTCTGTAAGTACATTACTTTGTCAAATCATCCATTATGTAAACAGCCAGTGTGTGTCTTTGTCATTCTGAATTGCATTACTATGCATCATTCCTTCCAATTCCGTCCACTTTGCTGTCAATGGCTGCATTTCATCTTTTCTTATGGCTGAATAGTATTCCACAGTATGGAGTAAATAAAAGACTTGAAAGGGGTCTTGATGTCCCAGAACAGAGTCTGAGAATACAAGTATAGGGTGGATGCTAACAGCACAAAATAGGGATTTCCCCTTAAACAACACTCCTGAATCTGGATCAAGAAAAGACAAAGCAGAAAGTGTGAGTTATCCAGAGGTGTGAGCTGGCAAGTTGGGATGTGCAGAGGCCTATGAAGAGAGAGCGCTGGGGGCCAGCACAAGCGTGACTGGGCCCAGGAGCCAGCCGAGATGGTGGGGGCACAGAGGTCACAGAAGCCCAGTAGCAATGATTAGAGTTGTTAATTGGCTTTGTTTCATTTTATAACTTTCCTAAGATTGTATGAATTTCCAAAGCTTACTGAGCTATCAGTTTGTGATGTGAGGGGAAAAAATAATTGACCCCTTACGGTGATCAAAGAAAGGGAAAAGGCTGATAACTTCTAGGCGTGAGTTAATTGAAATGGAACTTCTCATCTGCTAACTACTTCATAAAATTCGTATTTAAATCAAGCTCCTCCTGTTGTAGACCAATGTTACCTCCATTAAAAAAAAATTAAAAAAACAATAAAATCTCACTTGTGGAGTCTTTTATTGAGAGATGGCTGTCTGTCCGTCACCGAGTCTCCTTCTGAAGGAGTCAGTTGGGCCTGTGCAATTCCCTTAGGCCCGAGGCACTCACTGCCCCACTCCCACTGTCCCGAGCTTCTTACTGTACTGCTGCTCTGGCCACTTTCAAATAACTGAATTTGTGGCAGCACATTAAGGGAATTAAAAACCAAACTTTTGTTTAAAGCAAGTTACAGAAAATAGCTGATACTTATTACCCTGTTATTTTGTTTGCCTGTTATTTTGTTTCTCTGTGTTCTCTGAGTATCTCTCTGCTGTTCCAGCACACCTGTGCTTTGCTGTGTCCCTGGTTTGATGTCCCATTCCTGCTGGTAACTGTCACTGACACAGTTGTCCCCTGCCCACCACCACGTACTTGACTTCCCTGTCACTGAACTCTCCTCTGTCACAGTCAAGACAAGCAGGTCACAATGATTCAAATGTCTGGATACCTTTGCTCATCTTTCTCCTGGCCCCTCTACACACACTCACAGAGGTCACCATCTCTGGGGCATCTTGCAGAGAGCTCAGAAGCTTCTCTTACAACTTCCACAGAGCCACCGAGCTTCCCTCTGCAGTGAATAAATGTTCCTGGAAACCATTTTTATGAGAAATGCAGTATCTTCCCTGATTTTAAATGCACCACGGCAGGTAACTGTGAGAGGTATTTTAGCATAGCACTGTACATTGCTGTACTGGAAACACTTTCCATACATACCTTCATTTGTTCCTCACAACAATCCTGACCTATACCAATAGCCAATGCCTGTAAGACATTGTTATTATTCTGTTCTACAGGCGGGGTGACTGGCATGAAGAGAATAGCCAAATAACGCTCGAAAGTCACACATCTACTCACAGAGCTGAGATTTTCACCTAGGCAGGCTGCATTCAGAGACTACACACTCAACTCTTGCGAGGGCTCACTGTTTCATAGATAACTCAAGTTTCTAGAACCTCAGACTGCAAGCTTACTTGCCTCCGGCTCTCCTCACTGACCAGGCTCATTTCCTTATTTGATTAAGTGCTTTCTTCCTTACACATCTTTTCACAAAATGTGGTCAACAGGCATTTCAGTCTTTGCCTCTTTAGACCTTTCCTCAGTTCTCTTTTCCTCAGTGCTAGGTCTGAGCACAGGCCTATTTTCTCTTCTACCTTTCCAGCATCTTCCACAAGAGGGCACATTCTGACCATAAAGCATTTGCTGTGCTTGCCAGGTGGTTACAATACAACCAATTACTCTTATGCTTTCATTCTGTTATAAGAAATGGCTCCATTCAAGCTACACTCCTCATTGTTATTTCATGGAGGGGGAACAACAGTAAAAAAGGAAACCATATAATTTTTGTGGACTGCTTCACTATAATTCATTCACTGGATTCCTAGGTTATGCAGTATGGAATCCATTAAGCAGGATATTGAAGCTTATGAGGGGAGCCCTAGTAATTCCTCTTTAATAAACATGAGTTGCTTTTATTTCTTTAACTTTATTAGTCACTTACTCAAGACATTACTCAAAAATGCTTGTTAATAATGTGAATGATGATGTTGAGTCCTCATTATTAGCATTTCCATGGGCCCCAAAGACAAAGTCTGGACTCCTTCTGAAAACTGAGAAAAGGGTTGGCCTTTAAATATAAATCTTTGTACCTGAGTTTAACTCCATCCTGACACTTCTCACCAAACCTGGTAAGGAAGGTAGTGGCTGTTCCCTCAGGGGTCTTTTTGTGTAGTTGAGCAAATGAATGCTGGCGTATTTAACTTAGAGCCTTGGAAGGGGTACAACTGAGGAACAGGGCTTAGTGTTCTGCAGGCCACACTATTTACCAGAGTTTCCGCAAAAAGAGGTAAAAACTGAAGAAATAAGTTTCCCTGTAAAGCAAAACTGACTGAAACTCAGTCTATCTCAGTGGGCTCTGTGATCGTTTTTGCCTGGGTTGCCCTACATTTCATGCCTGGACCCACTGATATATGCCTACTCCACCCCTTCCAACTCTCCTGTCCTCCCAGTTCAGACTATCCCTAGCAGGAACAGGGGAGGGGATAAAAAGAAACTTTGCTCTTACTTTTGCAGTCCCTCCCTCAAATATTTTGTGTTTATTGATTCCTGGGTGCTCCTCTGAGGTCGTAATCTTTCAAAACTCAAAAGCAAAGGGAAATTTTTTTTTCCTGTGTTCTTTGTTTTGGCATCACTTCATGAATCCATGAACCCAGAGAAACCTAATTGGCTGTTTTGGAGGTAAGCCACAAAAGAAGGTGGGGAAATAATTTTTTTTTAAAAAAATGAGTTGGTTCAGAAATATTTCTCCATCTCACTAATATTGTGTCTGGTACATTTTTGGTATTGCAAAAGGAATTTGTGAAATAAAAGATTAACAATAAAAATGAATGCATGAACACTTGCTCATGATGGAAAACTACAGCCAGGTAAACAGATAAGAAGTCATTTTCTAATCATCAAAGGCAAAAAATCTAAAAAGTATCTGAATACCAAGCATGGTTAAGAAAGTGGAACAGAAGGAACCCCAGTGACTTCTGGTAGTTTATAAACCAGTGCCACCACCTTGGAGAAAAAATTGGTAATATATTGTAGAGTTGAAGTAGTATATACCCATGACCCAGTAATTCGAGTCCCAAGTAAGAATCTTAGAGAAACACTCTAACCAGGAGACATAAAAGAATATCAGAGAATCAAATCTTTAAGCACTTCTTTTCATTCTCTCTCGAAGAGAAAATAAAAACAGGAATAGGAGGCTGGGTAAATAAGTCGTAGAGGATTCACAAATTGAAATAGTAAGTAGCAGCAAAAACTAATGAACTAGAAATATGACTTTCCGGGTAGATGAGTCTCACAAATGCAGTTAAGCAAAAACAAGCACACGCAGATCATGAATCTTTGCAGAATCCACAGTTGCTTACGCCATTCTCTCCTTCCTCCTTTGTAGGAGAACGACAGTACCAGAACAAAGGGGACCTTGCCATTTGCTGTCACCATGTGATTTGGTTCTGGCCAATGAGCTGTAATTTCAAGAGATGACTAAGGCCTCCAGAAACTTCTAAAGGGCTTGTGTTCAGCTACTAATGACACTTTATTGGCTTCTGCATTTTCCCCTTTTTTCAGCCAGCAATGCAAGCATAATGGCTGAAACCTCAGCAGCGAACTTTAAGCCATAGGTGATGTTAAAAGTGGAAGTCAGGAGTTAGGATGAAAGGAAACCAAGGTATTGCTCTATCAACCCCAAGGGATTACTTTTGGGATGGGATGCAACGGAAAGCGGCGGGAGATGTATATAAAATGTGCTGTGTTTTCTTCTGTTCTTCATATCTGTTTGTATGTCTTAAATGCTGACATAACACTGGAAGATATTGGAGACTTAGGAGCTCTTGGAACATAAAGCAATGGAATTATCATTACAGACTCTGCATTTCTTGTGTCTCCTTCAGTTCTCCCTTTTCTGCAGTGAACTGAGTTGGACAAACAGAAATAAACCTGCTAATTCTCATAACTCTTCTCGAGACCCAAAAATGTCACCTACTACTTCTTCTCCTTAACCCTATACTTGCTCCTCCCAGATATTCAGAGAAATCTTCCTCTGGCCAAATTCTTTCCAGTCTTACAATGTTTTCTATTTCCAATCCAAGTGTTTCCTCAGCCTGTATTCCTAGAAAGAGAGAAGCAGGAAGAGAGGAGAGAGGCCTCCGTCACCTCCGTGCCTGGGAGGGGAGCTTGGTTCTACTTCATGCTGAGCTTGGCTTTTCTTAGATGGCATCCTTCCAAAGAGCCAAAGAAGGGGCTTTGCTTGACCAGCTGGTGTCTGGTGCTTGGTGCATGAGGCTGCTGTCTACCCACAAGGCAAAGAGGATGTCAAGTCTGTTGGGCATTTAGGAGCATGCCAAGAGCAGAACAGCTTCTACAGTGACATTGTCACCATTTCCCTCTGGTGTGTTTCACAAATGGTTGATGGGATTAGACAGCATGCCTTTCTTAGAAGACTTTACAAACACCATTGCTTATACTAAGATGAAAGTGGTGTTTTGGGGAAAATGCCAAGTTGCAAATCTGAGGTGGAGAAGATATTCCATTAACCTTGTATCTAGTAGGCTGTCTATTAATTTCAAATGATAAAGAGATGTCAGATAAAGCCAATTAGCATAAAACACTCTTAGCTTTGCAAACATTCAACAAATAGCAACAAGAATGAAGGACATGTAGGGATGGAGCTTTTCCATGGGACTATTAAAAGTGATTGTGTCTTCACTTCTTTCATCTTGTATATTCTATGTGCAAGTCCTAAGGCAACTACTAAGTGATCCAGTCTTCTGTCTTTTCCCTCCTCTGTGATGAACATGCTGGATCTCTTTGTGGAGAAGAGACAAATGATGACACCTTTGCAGTGACTCGATGTCCTTCACCTACTAGGAAACGGTCACTTCCAAACTCCTGGTGCAACTGTCATAATGGTGGCCTCTGTTGGGGCTTTTCCAGGGCATAAGAGGAAGGATTAAGGCCCAGTCCCAGGTGACCACTCTACAAACTGAACTTGTATGGTGATCACTTCTTGTGCTCCAAATACATCTCTGGGTATATCATTGCAGGACAATTTTCAATGTTGACCTTATGCTGGGTTCTGGGGTGATCAGCGTGAAGACACACGAGCCAGCTAGGGTAAGGAGTGCTTTGCTCCTATAGGCAGTGGGGGAGTGAGGTCGACACTTTCCTCTTCTAACTCCCCAGCATGGATAGCGGGGGCCCAATAACCATTTTTGAGTAAATCTATATACATCAATTAAACAACAAGTGATAGGACCTCTCTCCCTCTTGCTCCCCCTCTCCATGCTCCACAGATGTTACGTGAAGCCATAGCAGAGGTAACCTTGCAAGCAGGGATGTGAACTCTTGCCACTCTCCAAAGCTATATGAGATAAATTAGTGTTGTTTAAGCGCCCCAGTCTGTGATATGTTGGCAGCCCCGGTCAACAGCCAGGATTCATGCAATCTGAGTCCATAGTCTGTGCTCTTAAGCAGAAGGGGAGAGGGATTTGCTGCTTTTATTAAAGCAAAATGCATGCCCTGTCAAGGTGGTTAACCAAGTGGGTCTAACCTTTCCCTGGTGTTCCCTGCCCCCTCCCCCCCCCCCCCGGAGCTCCTTTGTGTAGTTGACCACTGGACCACTGTCTTCCAGACAGATACCATTCCACTGCTTACTTAAAGGGCTAGCTCGACTGTAGACAAAATCTTTTCTTATTTTAGAGTGTCCAGATCAACTGAAATTCATAAAATTAAAAAAAAATATGAACTGTAGACAAAAGTAAAAGGAAATGCCCTGGAAGGAGAAAATGAAACTCTGCTCCCTCTTATAAGGGCACATGTGGTTGCATTTAGGTGGCACATAAGAATTCAGAATCACCTCTCTATCTCAAGATCTTTAATTCAATCACAGCTGCATATATCTATGAGTCCACACTTGGGTATCCGGGTAGGGTGGTAGCCCTAATTTTGCCAACCACATAAAGCTTAGCTTTTTATCTATGCAGTAAAGATGTGCAAATGTGCATACATGTGAATGTATGTGTGTTTGTAATGTGCATTGTGAGTCCTGAATGTCAAAGTGCATGGATTAGAGGGTATGTTAATACGATCGAAAGTAGGAATGAGTGTGCGTAAAAGATGTGTCTCTGCATGTGTCTATGTGAGTGTCCTGTCTCTGTGTGAATGTAATGTGTGTGGGCATGCATGTACTAATACAGTTTGAACCTGAGTGTGCCCAGACTCAGCGCCTCACACCTCCGGGGAGAGGATGGTTGGTAGAGTGCTGGTCCTGCCATCCCGTGCCCCCATCCCATTGTGCCCCCATCCCGTGTCCCAGCTTGTCCTCCCTCTACCTCTTGGGCCATGGAGTCTAGGGGCATCTTCCCTGAGCCTCTGGGGGCACAATGGAGCAGCATCTAGAGGTCCAGGTGCAGATGTGCAAGCAGGGCCCTGGGCAAGGCCTGAGGTATAGGAACGTGCCCTTAGGCATGTCCTGAGGGTCCAGGTGTGGGTGGGGTGTGTGGGCCGAGCCATAGGAGGAGCCTGGGGAAGGGGTGCTCCAGGTGCCTTAAGTAGGGCAACTGCTGTTTGCAGAATTCACAAGGGTTTCTGGTTGCTTACTGGCCATTCTGGATAGGTGAGGGATATTTTCCTTTTCCGAGATGAGACTAGGTTGGACACGACCCTAAATATTGCCCCAGGGGGAGGGAGATGTTGCCCAGATTCCTGCATCCAGATCAGGGGCACACGGGGCCTGAAAAGGAGCCTGGACCACGGAGGCCTGGAAATCTATTGCAGTCACCTGGGCAGGAGAGGTGTAGGGAGGGTGATACCTGCAAACAGTGCACCTGGGGAGGGGAGGGGGAGTGCAGTGCGACTCCCCCGGTAACCCCTGGGGCAGACATGGTCCCCACGTGCTAGGTTCCACAGTTTGCCTTGGGGTTCCCCGGGGACCCTCTGTGAAGTGTGGCTCCCTTCATGTGTGCTGTCTCCTTCATCAGTGTCTACTTAACCTAGGGGGGCGGGGAATGTGGCTCATCTCCTGAGCTTGGTAAATCGGCCCTGAGTCTCCCTGGATCAGATCTTGTAGGTATTCTGATGGGATACCCAGACTGGCTTTATGCAGTGACCCTACTTCTCTCTGATCACATTGGTGGGCTCTGAGAATACCCTCATGGGACTTGTGGAAAACTCATATTCCCTGACCCAAGATGCAGGTCCACATGGGCCAGAGCTATAATAGTAAATGCTCTTTGAATAACATGAAAATGTGGGACAAGGGGGAAGGTGGAGCGAGAGGAGGGCATGACAGTTTAAATCTCATTCCTGGCCTGTGGTTATCGAAGCTGTTAAAGGGACTGTCCCACTTGGTTGCTCTTAAGGGTCTGTGAAGGACTGGGCAGAAAGTTGTAGTTTTGTGCTTATTTTCTTAGGCAGGAAGGCTTTCTGGCACCAAGACTTCATGGCAGGTTCTCTGCGGCCCTCAAAATATTAGGACCTATGCCCAGTGATATTTGATTGACAAAATAAGTCAGGCATGGTCTTCATCCAAGCCACAGAGAGGAATTCAATTAACAAAACTCTCTTATATCTTACCTTTAAGTATCTCCTACACGTTTTCTAAAGCTCTGGTGCCTGTTTCAGGTTGTTGGCTTGTGAGGATGAGCAGAAAGCAAAGTGAACGATTAAGAAACAGATGAATATTAATGGCAAAATTCAGAAACAGCTAATTGTTAAGTGACAGCTTTTCTTTTTTTGATCCAGCTGATGATTTTTTGTATTGTAAAAACATAATGTAGTTTTATTATACTGCTAGTGGTTATTTATTCATGTAAAAAAATTCTATCTCATTTTTCATGGTGCTTTTCAGAGAGATTACCGTGACTTGGGGTTCTGCCGCCTAAATCTGTTTGAGACTCTTAACTCTGGAAATGGTGAGGGGGTGGTGAAGTCTTGCTGCAGAGACACTTATCTTCGTTCTTAGGAAAATCGCTGAAACTGACCTTCAGTTTGAGCTTTTATAAATTAGTAATATTCATGAAGATTAGGGAATACAGACACACAGTATTTCACAGTGCCTGGCACATAATAGGTGCTCAACAAATAACCCCAATGGCAATAAAGTTCCCAGCTGACATAGTATGTGACTGCAACAGTGCTCCTCCCACTCTAACCTGCCTGTAAAGGAATCATCTGAGAAACTTGTTCACATGCAGTTTCTGATTCTGTAGATCTGGACTGGAGCCCAAGATTCTGCATTTCTGAGAAGTCTCTGCTAATGCTGATGCTGATCCTGCTTGCATGCAGAGCACAACTCAGTAGCAAGGAACGAGACAACGGTGCAGAACAGGGCATAGGGCGGTGCTGAGAGTTGGGCTTCTCCAAACAGTTCCTTGAGAAGCTCTAGACAGAGGACTGACTAGAGGGTAGATAAAGTAATCAGGACGAACTTCTCACGCAGAAGTGCTTCTGTCTTTTCAATTGAATATCACCCTTGGGTTTTCCAGGCTGATGGCTTTCTTCTCCTTCTGTGGACTTTCGTTCATATTGGAGTGAACGTAATTCTCAACATTCCCTTGCCCAAATCCGGGGTACTGTCTCCACGTCACTGAGAATGGTGGGGTGTCTGAGACTAGACTTGTGTGGTCTTTAGGTAGTGGGGAAGGAACCAGCCTTACTGAGTCCCTGCTGCCTGCCATGCACAATGCTCACTAATTTACACATGGTTAATATTTACTCCTCACTTTATAAATATGGGAACACACCAGTTAAACTTAAAATTACATAAATTGGCAGAGCCAGGATTTTAACAAGATCTGTTGCCTGTCCCCAACTCTGCCCGTTAAACCTTATTACTTTATTACCTGCCTTTTTGCAGAAATTATTTTCTTCTGACATTTAAGTAGCTAAGTATTATTTGGTGACTTATTAGAAGTAGCACCATGGTCCCTGTGAGTTCTGCAAAGCCATATTGATTTCACGTGGCCGGTCATGGAGATGGAGCCAAGCAGAGCAGGGGGGTAAAGCGGGGTCTGACTGAAAACTCTGACCTTGCTTTTTCCCTTATTTTCATGCTGAAAAAAGGTAGAAAGTTAAAACCAACCTTGGCTCTCTCGGAGGTAGTATTATTAAAACTTCCAGGGAAAAGAGAAATGAGCAAAGCAGAAAAGAAATCTGCAGCCATTTAACATAAGGCTTTAATGAAGTGAGGAACAAAATGTTTCCAAAAGTTAAAAGCTCCTTCAGCAAGTAGCAGAGGTAATTTTTTTTTTTTAAATTTGAATAACCAAAACGAATAGGAGAGTAGCAAGTTATAATGAGCCAGTTCTGTGAAGACCTCACACTCCCCATTCAGAAAACATTGCCTTCTTTACAAATCTCTCATTTACATGTAGAACCTGTGGCCAGGGTTAAAACCTGCGGAGCTGTCGGCTTGCAGACCCAAGTGCCAGCAGGTGTTTGGTGCCTGCCCTGACTCAGAGGGGAAGTGTCCCCTCATCCCCATCCCCTTGTCATGGAGAAAGCTGCCCCAGTTGCCAGGTTTTCCCATTTCCAAGAGAAATCCAAGTTCTTTATTTTGATCTTAGATCTATTTTTAAATGTCAGCAACAAACTAAAATATTTCACAACTAGAAGCTGGAAATTATCTAGGTAGATATTTGACCACATCTTTCTGGCATTACATCCTTAAAATAGACCTTAGGGAGGATAAGAAATTATGTGGAATATAGACACCAAACCAAATATCAGATAAAGCCAAATTAGAAAGCTCTTGAAAGATGACTATGGAACCGAGGCCACAAGAGGAGGAGGGTGAAAATAAAGTGGGGAGGGAGAACACTGATGCTGGATGGTTACCACCCTCCATGGTGGGTGTGGTGTGACACTTCCTGAAGGGGGAGATCCAATACTTCTAAAGCATGAACAACCAATGTGACCTCAATAAAAAAGGAGGAAGAG